GGGGGGGGGGGGGCTATTATCGAGTAGTCTGGTGATCACGAACGAAAAGGATGATAGTTAAGAATAATAGTAGTAATAGTGACGAATATACAACTGGTTGATTTGGCATAATAGTCTAGAGCGTTCTAGCGACAACGGGATGGTCAGTGAAGATCGTCCACCCAAGCGGTATCCAGAGACTCTATTAGAGTGCGCACAAAAGCCATCTCCTTGCGGGCGTTTTCCAAGATGACTCTTGGATCCTGAGAGGTACATCTAAGAATATTCGGTGCCATCACCATCGCTAAGTTATTGGCATCCATCTTGGTCCGGGCGACGACCTCTGGCCTGGCAAAAATCTGTCAAGAAATATAGAGTGCGGTTAGGTAAGGTTTATGAGGAGTACAATGATACGAGAAATTGTCTATTGCATGAAAGATAGCCTACCTGAAGGAATCGCACCAGGTGAGAAAGTACCCGACGGTTGAGATCAGGAAGTCGATCAACGAGGGCAGCAACGCTTGCGGCGGACGCTTCTGCATCATCATGCCGCATCGAAACGCACTCCGTGTAAAAGGAGTCAGGAATTAAAGGTTCGTAGAGCTCACGAACCCAGAGTTTCAGAAGTGAAGCTGGAGCGTGGGCATCCTGGGATGCAGCAAGTATTGCGCCATCTTCAAACCTGTCCAAGCAAGATTTCAAGGCGCTGACTTCGTCGGCGTCGGCGGATACACGGAAGATACCCTCGGTCAATGTTCCACCACGTACTAGGACTTGACGCGTTAGTGTTGTCTGTACCCAAGGTAGCTCTCTCTGGGGAAACCGGTCACGTTGCAAAGCCATTACTTCAGAGAGCGTCGCGCCGAACATGGAGGCACGGAAGATTTGAATCTACAGATCAAGATTTGTGTTATTAAAATCCTGGTGATATCACGCCATCCTCATGGTCAAAGTTTTATTTTTTTTGTACTTACTCTAGCTTGATCTATGTCCTCGATGGTAGCTTTACGAGGCTGTCGCTTTCCATGAGCACCAATGCGCTGAAGACGCCGACAAGCGACAGTTGCGTAATGACTAACCTGGACGTGAATCGGCCATTTAGCCACTTCAGGAAATTGAAAATTAGGGTCTCGATGTCTATTCATATAGCCTTCTAGATATGGTTCGAAAGTAGCACTAGGTGGGACGAAGGCCAAACAAACGGCCATGAGTTCCCAGCCACGTCTCAAACTCTCCTTCCTGGGATTCTCAGTGGTCTGACGACATATTTGCACGTAGAGTTCATCGCGCAATGGGGGTTTGGTGAAAGCAGTATTAACGATATCCATAGCAACACCATCCAAGGTCATGCCCACATTGGCCTTCCGGTCACCCATATAAACTTGGACTAGTCTGAAGAGATTGCAGGCTTCTCTCTTTAACAATTTCTCACCATCGACGACCACAAGCATTGGCTGGGGAATAGGATCCTTGGACCAGCTCAGGATATCACGTACGCTGAACTTCTTACGGAAGAGCAACCTTAGTCCCTTAGGACGACCACAATTCAAATTGAGGTTATCCTGCGCGTATTTCTCGATATCGCCACCACCGGTACTGTCATCTCTACGTGCCTCGTCTAGATCCACAGTATCAACTCCAATTCCAGCACCAGTTCCTGACACTGCAGTTGAAGCAGGAAGTGACACCGGTCTAGTCACAACCAAATTTTCTCGTGGCTCCGTATGGGAAACTATAGTAGGCGGGGGCGGAGGTGTAACTTGCGGTCTCGTCAAAGTATCCGCAGTATTATAATATGTGGCCAATCCTGCGGTATCGTAATTCCCCAAGTCTACAACAAATCATTCAATATGCCTTCAGATGATTTACGACAAAAGTAAATTAATAATCAATAGGCCTTCTATTCACCTGCATAGTGATCCTCAAGATACTCCTGACTAGACGAATCACCCTGATTGCTAGCAGCTTCGTCATCAGCGAACTGATCGTCAGAGTCGTCATCAGCTCTGCCTCCAATTCCACCACCTCTGCCGCCTTCCTCATCCAGTGAATCGTCGCCTTCTTCCACTAACAAAGGATCTCCAAACTTGTAACAACCTACGTCAAAGATAAACACCAGATGGTCAATCGTCTGTACGAGATTATGCATGTGTTCCTTGACAGATGGGAACTTGTAATTAACATTATTTCCTAAGCATGCTCACACACAGATAATTTAATAGAATACCGGAGAGCTTCGCCTGCTGAATGATGTAATGCTGAAGAGGTAGCAGATGATCAGCGTCCACTAGAAGATTTCCATAAAAGGGAGATGGCGGTGGACTAGGATTCCCGTTGCTTCGTTTTTTCCCGTTATCACCATCAATGTTGCTTTCTAGGTCATCGCCAACAGCACTGTTACTACTGCTGTTGCTGCTGTTGCTGCTGGTGGTATTACTGCTGACTTGTTGTTGAGATTGCGGGTGAGTCTGACCCACCAGGTAACGTTCATGCATAGAATCATCGTCCCTGTCGCGTCTTCTGTTCTGTTGCTGCTGTTGCTGTTGAATCTTTTGCTGCTGTTTCTGTTGTTGCACAAAGCTGTAACTACGAGCTAGTGGCTGAGGAGGACCTATGGAAAATTACAAAATTCATAAAAAAAGTTCCTATCAGGATTTTAATTATATATAATTCTATGTTTTTTTTTTTCCCTTACAATCCAACGAGTTGTTGCAAGCTGTTGTTCTTCTGTAATCTCTTTCACGCTCTCTATCTCTCTCTCGGTCACGCTCTCTTTCGGATACCTCAAGACTCCTCTGCTTGGACACGTTACCAAGTACTGCTACTCCACGTACGAGACTCTTGGCTGGCTCGTTCCTCTCAGCTAACATGGCGCCATATTTTTCTCTAACATTTGCTTCGGAAAGCGACGCTGGGCATCCATGGTGCAGCCTACCGATACTACCAGCACCTTCCTGCTTATTGGCGTTTCGTGGGTGCATGGAACTTGGATAAAATGCTGCACTGTTAGTTTTGTCAAGACTATTAACACGTTCTCTATGATGTAGCTCCCGTTCGCGATCCCTGTGGTAGCGATTACCTGTCTCTACCAGGGAACCATATTTGTCACCCTGAGCTTTGTAACTGTGGCTTAGCTGCACTTCCGGTGGTCTATAGGGTGGCATTTCCTGTCTAAATGCTCTGGATTCTAGCATAGATTCTCTATAGGGTGAGGTGCTGGGCTCTGGCCCATAGGAACCCCTGTTACTCTCCCGACCATTTTTACTCTTCTCCATGTCCAAGTTTCCAATTCTGATTTCCCTCTGAGGTTCAGCGAACGTCTTCTTCTTAAACAAAGGAGTGCTCGTGGAGAGTGAGAGTCCCAAAGGCGGCGGCTCTGTAGACGGCAATGATTTCTGATTCTTCGCACTCTCGAGGGTACCACTCTTATGAGACCTGATCTCCAGGGTACCCGAGTGCTGGCGATGAGATGGCTGCGAAGGAACTGGTTGTTGCGGCTGGGCGGCTGATCGATGATGATGACGATGAGGAGAGTCCAGTAATCTGTAGCCAGTCGACTCCAAGGAAGTGCGACTGTGTGATACGGAACTGTCACTGGACCGTCCAGAATCCTGAGAATGATTATGATGACGACGGGTTGTTGGTTGTTCATGGTGCCTATGATGGTGCCTATTACTGTGGTGATGATGATGATGGTGATGGTGACGTCTAGTGGATGGCGACGGAGATGGTGGTGATGTCTGCAGGTCTACTCCTATAGCAGATGAACGTGGCTTGCATATTCCGCCAACTTGCTGCAATCCACAACGTGCAACAGCATTAATAATTGCTCCAGACGCAGCAAATGGTCAAGACAACCATTACTGTAATTTAATTACCAGCGTGGCAGCTAAGTTAGGATTCTCCTGGTGATTGAAACGCGGTGACCGGCCAACAGAGGGTGTCTGAGTTTGTGTTGAGACAGTCTCCTTCTTCCTGGGCTCGTTCCCTCTTTGCGCATCGCTACAACCCCCAGCTGGTTCTGTATTCTGCTTTAACGTCTACAAGCAATTTTAATGATACTTAAAACAAAATTTTTCTCATTTTTACCTGATATGCATAATCAGAGAAAATCTCGAGCACTTTTCTTTCATAGAAATTCAAAAGAGACAACGTACATTGTAGATTATACATCTTGACATTAATATAATATAAACTGAAACTGAGTTATGCTATGGAAGGACGTGAGAAGTTCCGATAAGAAAAAAATATGCTGTAAGAAGCTGTACAACAAACAGACCAAAAAATAATGAGGTCAGACGTGTAGGAATGGTTGAATAGCGTACTGACATAGGAAAACAATCTAGAGATCTATTTGAAGATCTTTCAGGAAGCGAATAGCGAATGACACCATCGTTAAGAAATATTTGCACAACAACTTCAAGTTTAACGGAGGTTTCACATATTGCCGCAGGGCTTTCTCTCCGGGAAGCAGATGGCGCTTTAACCCGTAAACGCTTGTCATTCGGCGCTCCGCATTCCGTCAGCCTTAAGGAGCGAGCGTAAACGCCAAGTGTAAGTCTACGACGTAGTCCTGAGTTTTTGTAGCTGATGGTACAGCATAATATAAACCAGAGTTTTTTCTCCCAACTACAAACTTCTATTTATAGCTAAGAAGAGAGCTCACTGCTAGCAAAGTTGTTCTACCCACTATATGCACCATGAGCAATGGTATGCATTCTTTATTGCCCCCACAAATCACAAAATAAAGGATGGCCACTCACAATAGAGTATGACTGACTATAATTAAGCCTTAAATTTATAAAATGGTTATTGGTCTTTCTGATGCATATATGGTATCCTAGGAAGACAACATTAAACACTTACCTGTAGCTTTGCTAATGGTATGATGTCACAATCGGTTGGTCGATGCCAGACAGTCTTCTGAGAAGTTGCATTGTAATAGTAGAATCGTGAAGTATTTTGATCAAACAGCTCCCACCACTGATTATTATCTGTTTTTTTCCTATAATCATTCATATGTAAAATTAGTTTCCAATTTGCACTCAACTTTCTACATTAACTATATATTCATGCACCAGATTTTTTATTCTGTACAGGCAGAAGTGTGCTGATATAAGATTATGCTATGGGACTCACTTTAGAAATTGATTTACTTGTTTTTTTATTCATAATAATCAATAAGTTTGAAAGGAAAGAGAAATAGCAGAAAGTCTCAGTAAGCTACCTGGATTTCTAAGAGGAAGTCTTAAGAGAGAAAATCCAGTCATTGAGGTTTTAGACTGTAAAAAGAAAACTTTAAAATGACAACTTTCTCCATACTGATTGTACTTTACTCTAACTGCAAGATGTATCTATTGTATCAAGTACAAAATAAAGATCATATTAAAGACAAAGTGAAATATTGTTGAACTTACACAGGCACACCTGGTGGTGGGTCCCAGACACATTCTCCAGTTGTCAAATTAGCATACATATGCTCCTTGGTTCGAGGCTCTATAATTTCCACCCATTCCATTCTGCTGCAATAATAAATATACAAAACCAACTAAATTCCAAAAATGCATAAAATATAACTCACTATATAAAAATCTTAAAACTCCTAATTCCTCATTCATCTGCAAGCATGAAGAAACTTCTCATCGCTCTCTAAGGCGTTAACTTACATCTAAAGTAGATAAGACGATAGTAAAGGATCTAGTGTCATGAATCTTCCATTGTGCCTGGATAAGAGCTACACCGATGATAAGAAAAATAAAATAGATGCATCACAAGCAAACAATAAATCTCACAGCAAGACATTTTAAATTACCCTTGTATCACGTCACGACCCAAAGTTCTCGGTCATTCTCACTTATGTGGTAACCAGAGATGAAGTAAAAGAAACGAAAAGCAAGAACAAAAAAATTTACGATAAATCTGAATAACCTTAAGAAACGTCAAAATAGAATAAAGAAATTTCGTGCCCGTACGTGCCTGTTGCGAATTGTGTATTCGAAAATGGAATTAAAATCTAGGAGTGTTCGCATGCTAAAAAGAGGGAGTTCGCCCCCACCGCCGTGGCTGTAATTGATAGGAATGCTGGCCGCAAGAAGACAGGGAAGTGGCTGATGTCATGCAGGCGATTCAATTGGTTGAAATGAACCGCGGAAACTTATCCACTAGACCGATGAGGAGGCTAATATATTCAGGGAAGTCTGGCTACAATAACAATAATTGATAAAAGTTATGGAATACTGTATCTATATAGGAAGTACCGAGTAAAAGGTCCCACCCATTCGTGTCCTATAGCCCTAGTAAATACTTGTCAGAGAGTCTTAGTGTGATACCGGAATATCTTTTTTTGAAACATTTTTCATGCATTACGATATGTATTCTTAATCTAGGATAAGTGAAAAATGAACTATCTCCATGATATCGGCGCTGTGAACTATCGTACTCACTACCGTGTCCGTGTACTATCATGCACTCGGTACATCGTAAGCAGTAGGTAATCCTGCTGCCCCTTGCCAAATCGCAGGATCAGCCCTACCTGTCCGATGCCATTTCGGCTGTCTTTCACTGTCCGCAATCCACTTCACGTCACCTCGTGCGAGCCACCTCGAGCGCGCACTTCACTTTAATAATGACAGTGACACTTCTATGTCGCAGCGTTCCATTTCCGCGAGCACAACGGACCGCAAACCCTTCGTGGTAGCTTCGCGCAAGAATCACTGGCGGCCATCTTCCCTCCTATAGCGATCCCCTATAACCACCTCTATTCTATCTAAACCTCCTCTTTTATCTTTATCTCTTAATTACTTGGCACACTTGCGTGTACTGTAGCACTACTTACTATACTTGCTGAATGATAGTCATTGACAATGACTTAGTTACCTGATGGTAATGAATTTTAATCGGCACGATTAGAGTCACGGTTTACAGAGTTTTCACTGTTCGTTTTAGCAGTTTCTCGGTATTTTTCATGAAGTAACACTTAATTCTTTTGAATTGTTTGTGTACGCGGTGCGAGGTTATAGAAGAATTGTGAAATTAATTGACTAGTTTTAAAGTAATGACTAAGAATTGAAACCAGGGAGAAATGTCATCGTTTGACGTTTGATGCTCAGATGTTAGGGTTGTAGGTTAAGAACAGTGGAGACATCTACCCTCATCTTGATCACGTTATAGCGACACTTATGGGGATGTAATGAATGTGTCATATGCAGAATTACATGACGCAGTTACTTCTGATTTTCTTGATTATTTGTGTCTAATTCGTCGTCGAAATTACGTTGGACTACGAGGATTTTTCTGATATTTTCTACGCTCGTGGACTGTGAACGCCAGCTTTTGAAAATCCTTTTGAGAATTAAGGCTAAGTTTACAGTGTTACTCGAGAAAGACAAAAATAATTTGACGGTGGCAAATCAGTCATGGATCAGGATATTTTAACGACACTTAAACTCCTTATGATAGGAGAATCAAATGTTGGAAAATCCAGGTATAATTGTAATATTAATTATGTAAATGCTATTGTACATGTAGCATGATGGAAAGTTGTCCTCAATGTGAAAAGGTGATGGGTATTTATAGGTAACTGTGAATTTCACTCTTTATTTTTAATTATAGTATCCTATTGAGATTCACCGAGGATGAGTTTTATGAAAATATGCAAAGTACCGTAGGCATGGACTACAAAACAAAACAAGTCACAATCGATGGAAATACCGTTAAACTGGCTATTTGGGTTTGTTTCTTTTTAACATTCCTTAAGTGGCAGAATGATGCTATTTATAAGTTTTCTATTTTTACTTGAATTATTTCTACTGAAATTTACTTTGTAACTATATGGTATACCAAATAGGACACTGCAGGACAGGAACGGTTCCGGACCTTAACTCCTAGTTATTACAGAGATGGACAGGGTGCCATCCTAATGTATGATGTTACAGACAGAAATACTTTTATTAAACTCGAAACATGGCTTAATGAACTAAACACCTATTGTAACAAAACTGACATAGTAAAAATGGTTGTTGGGAACAAAATTGACTTACCAAATAGAGAGGTGAGCACGGAGGAAGGATTACAGTTTGCAAGAAGGCATCAGACTTTATACATAGAGAGCAGTGCAAAAACCGCAGATGGTGTCAAATGTTGTTTCGAAGAGCTTGTACAGAAGGTTCATATAAACCATCCTTCTTACAAGAATAAAAACTATAACACATTAATAACGAACTATAAAATTCTAGATTATACAGACACCTGGACTTTGGGATACACATTCATTAAGACTGCCTGGTAATGGAAACACAGGTGGTGCAAGACAGCGTATAGGTAAGAGAGGACTGCAACTAACAGATGATTATCAACCTCAAGAAGCTTACTCAAGTTGTTACTGCAGTTTAGTTTAACGTTCTGTATATCTAAGAACGCTATTATCGTGACGATAACAGTAACCCAATATTGTCCTATGCCAATCTGAAAATTAGAAGAGATACCTGAAAGTAATCAGCTGCTACATATTCTGCTTCGGAGCACAGTTATAGTTGAAGCAAGAATAGTATAATTTTTTGTATCCATCACGGTACTAATTTAATAATACGCAATAGTTTGCTTCTAATTCTCGGACTATAATTATTTATGAGGCACTATATTTGTTATAGGGAATGTCTTAAAATAAAGGTGAGATTTCGTGTAAATACGTCGTACATACAGCCGTCAAGAATAATATATTAATAATTGATAGTGTAGCCAATAGTTCATGGTGCAGTTGTAACTTTATATCCACATATTGTATGTGTTGACTATATCAAGTTATCAAATGAATCTTTTTTTAATTCAATCTTTATTTTACTCTGTCGCACAGCCCAATCAGACAATGTATATTCTTGTACATACAAGAAATTTTCTGTATCACCAATAATACCCATATGCTATGAAAGTTTGTCGTAAATTCTTTCAAGCGAAGGACTTTCGAATGATTTTTGGTAATAAATCACCCCGTTACTATTACATTCTGCAAACTGTGGATGCAAAAGTGGTAATGATTTGCTATATATAAATTTAAGTAATATATACTGCATTCTTGTAAACGTGACTCTTTGTAAATAAAATATTCTTTGCATAAATTCAGATAATTTATTTAAAAAAGCTTCAACTAATTTATTAAAACAATTACTCATAAAACACTTGCCTGATTCATACGTAATTGAAACAAACGAATACATTCATCTCTATGGTCAAGTTTAAAAAGTTTAAAATTAGGTTCTGTGTTATTATGAAAGGAACCTTAACACGTCTTAAGAATTATGTTAGAAATAAATAAAATTCTTGCTCAAGCAACGAAAGAGAGTTATCCAAGAAAGAATTCCAATGAAGATATTTCCAAAATCCAAAGTCATTATGCTGAAGTATCTACTGATTGTGAAATATGTGCTATGCGATCCAAAGGTCATAAATCATTAAAAAAGGTATTACATTTTGATTATTTATATTTATATATGGAAAAACTTTCTAGAACTTTTTATTTTATAGGACAATGTTCAAGAATGCCAATCTCTGCCAGAAACTTTAAACATATATCAACGACCATACTCACCGATAGAAGATGAAAGAGTAAAAGTACATATCACCCTGACAAACAAGCGCGTCAAAGTATATGGAAAATGGGATAAAGATAAACTGATATTTTTATTAAGTGAAAGACTTTTACGAAGAGCTAGAGTAGAACCAGCTTATCTATATGATAAAATAACAATTGCGGAAGTAAAACCAATACTTTCAAGAACTCCATACGATCCTGTAATACACCGTGGAATATATAATGAAAAAGTATTAGAGGAACTGTACCAAAGTGGTAATTGATCATTGGCTTTATAGTAGAATCTTTAATTATTTTAATTTGTTCCAAAATATTTATAAATTAATTAATCCAGGCATGACAGAAATGGAGATAATAAGAGCCATGAAGTTCGGTTTACGGAATCTCACGGCAAGAGAACTGGATTACTTTAAACGTTTTAACGTAACATCTGAGATAATGAATTCTCGTAAGACCTGGACTCAGGATTTTGATGATCTACTATTCTTAAATCTAAAAGCCATCGGTTTAAAAAAATTTCAATGTCAGAGCATTGTCCTCCATGGAATTATTTCTCAAAATGAGTGTCGACTGGCGCAATTGGTATTAGGTGGGATCGATGTGCCAGGAATTCTCAGCTGGCAAGGAGCAGTAATTTCTATTTCCCCGAGGATGATCCAATTTCTGAAAAGACTAGGTATAGAGGATGACATTCTGCAGTTAATCGTACAGAAAGGAATAGATGAAGAGACATTAGAGATGCTAAAGGATCTTGGATATGTAGAGACTGAACGAGATGTGCATCCTGGCATGGAGGAGGTTCTGTCCACACTTGTATTATTATTCAGTAACAAATATTATTAATTATTTTTCTAGGTAGTAACGTGCGAATGTAGTCTAACTATCATAGAATCAGTACAGAAGAATAATAGTCTGATGACTTTAGACTCTATGATAGGATCAGACATTAGTGAGATAACTTGTGAAACTCTTTCTACAAAAAACGGCCGTATGTGCTTTAATAACAGTGCATCGAGTGAAACAAATTCAACAGATCTAAATATTATGGCATTTTTTCAACAACCAATCTGTCCTTGCCATATGCATCCACAGAGAGGAAAGGAAACTCCCTCGGAATTGATAGCCCAAAGAAATGATTACTTAAGGTTCTTGATTTTCGTATTATATGAAATACGATTTCAGTTTATCAGAAAAAATCATCTTTTAGACAGAACGTAATGGTACCATTAGTATGGGCAATGAGTAAAGCTTTACAGTACAGACCATCAGATCCGAAGCATTACATTGCTTATAAATTATTGAGTTGGAAGTATGGAAATGTATCAAAAGCAGAAATGGAAGATGTTCGAAATTTAGTGATTACTGCTACAATAGATAAGGACAAACAGCTTATTGTAAAATTGATTATTTTTTTCGAATGCATTTCTCAAATTTTAATATACAATCATTCCCTAAGTCATTTAAAAATTTGTATTTTCTAAGAAACATAAGCGCATCGAGGAGGAACTTGAGTTAGAGGCTTATAAAGAAGCCCTGAAAAATATTCCCTGCAAACCTTGTTCACAAAGTCAACAATTGCACCGTATTAAGAGAGGTTGCTGGAAATGTATTAAGAAATGGATTCCAAAATACAGACCTTGTGAATTACCAGAAGACTGCAGTTCCTGCGAGGTGGATTTGTCTGATTTTTTAAAATCAAACACCACCTCGTTCTCTTCCTATGATTCATCCATACCTGACATCCCAATTCCATCGCAAGAGAAAATTTACTCTGAATTGGTACAGACTGACAAGAACATAGAAAAAGAATTAGAATGCGTGGAGGGTCAGGGAAATATTGAAACTGTTTCCTTCAGGTAGACTAAATATATTTACTGATTTAAATAAGCATTGAAAAAATCAATCTTTGCTAACGATTTCATTGGATAACTATAATTCATACCGACCTTACTGTTCTATATTCTCAGTGAATGCAATATTCATAAGGAAGCTGAAGAAGTGCCACAAGAATCCAGTCAATCAGCATGCTGTCCCTGGAGATGTGATTTACCAATACCAGATCACTATACAGAAAAATCATCAAAACTAATGAAAGAGTTGTCAAGAAATAAATCCAATACAACTGTTCAGAAATCTATAGGAATAGAAGAAAAATGACTGAATAGAAAAAAAGTAAAATTTGTATTGATGAATAGTCTCTTGGATGATTTCGTAAAAAATTCTTTATTTGGTAATCAGATTCGTACATTTGTCGTATGTTTTATTTATCATTCTTTCTCTTTCTTTTTTTCTGAATATCTTAGTGCACCATTTGGCACCAAACACGATAAACTGAACGGAATGAAAGAATGTCGGACATTATATTTAAAGGATATTCTCAAACATCCTGGCAGTG